ACTTCTGCATGCAAGCACTTGTAGGGGTACCTGGCCTGCAAGAAGCACTATTGCAACCTTATTCCAGCAGCCATCAGGAAAGCTAATAAGACCTAAAGGGACAATACCTTCCCTGACCTAGTTTAATTTCTATTGCTGTGATAGAATACCCAGATAAAAGGCAACTTAGGGGAGAAAAGGTTCATTTTAGCTCACAATTTTACATTGCAGTCCATAATTATTGGGGAAGTCAAAGCTATTTGAATCAGGTAGTCACACCCACAGTCACCAACAGAGAGAGACACGAATGCATGTATGCCTATTGCTCAGCTTACTTCCTCTACTCACACAGTTCAGTACCCAAACCTAAGGAATGGTGCTGCCCACTTTTAGGTTGGATCTTCCCACATCAATTAAACATAATTAAGAGAATCCACCAAAGACATTTGCAGAAGCCAACCTGATCCAGACAATTTATCATTGAGACTTTTCCCAGGTAATCACAGACTGCATAAAGCTCAAAGTTAAAACTGACTATCACACTCCCCTTAATGACACTTTCTGCAGGTCACATTTGGCACTTTTAGTTTCATCTCACAATAAAGAACTTACCCGCACAATTTTGCACAGGCACACAGGCAGCTGTGAAATATAGTTCTTGTTCTCGATAGCGATTAAACTTTGGTCTAGTCAAAATGTAGGGTTCTCAGGCTAATGAAAAGGAACCAAGGAGGTAAAGGAAAAGAAAGAAGCTGAAAGAAGAATGGTAGAAACAGTTGTTAACAAGGGAGATATGGACAATAATGGGGTTATTTTAATGGGGGGGAGGGAGGGTTATACAAGGAACCTTGGGGATAAAGGGAAAGAAGGAGCTCAAGAGAGGAGAGACCATAGGAGAAGGGTATTATTAAGGGAGAAATGGGGAAAATGGGGAAATCATGGTCGAAGAGTTAGACAATGTGAGATACATAATGCCTACCTAGTTTAAAAAAAAAAAACAGAGGGGACCACAATGAAAGAGAAGAAAGAGACAGAGAGAAAAGAATATCATTAGGTCAAGATACTGAGATCCTAGGGTATTAATTTATGAGCAATTGAGTGTTAAAAATGAACAGACATACTTTGAGACCTATACTAATTTGGTCAGAGGGACATAAAGGACAGTTTTAACTCCTTGCCCTCCTAGGTCGACTAGTTTCAGGGGACTATGAGCATCTCCCAAAATGTCCTGTAATTGTGGTGGGTCACATGTCCTCTTGATCAAGGAGGCCGAGGAGACCCCACCAGATGGACTTGAACCAGTGTCCAGTCTACAAAGAGGAGGGTCAACACAGGAAACATTTCCTCCATGCTTCCAAATGAAGCCAGCCACGGTTGAGTAAGACCTTTGACTTATCTTCAAATAGATGGAACTGGTGAAAGAAAGGAGCCAGGGGCTCCTCCCAAGCCTATGTGACCCCTGAGGAACAGATCTTCAAACGGCTTTAAGAATAAAAATAGATTGATTTATCTGGGCCAACTGCATGGTATTAAACACCCAAAAGGAAAGTATAACCAAAGATTAAAGTGATCAGTATAATTCTTCAAGAGTTCATGTGTACAGCTAAAGGCTACATAACAAGAAACAATGCCAGACAGGAGATACCCTCCTTTGAGTTGTTGGCCAGGGTGGCCCAAAAGACTCCCAGACAGTAACCCAGCATAGAACTGGGAAACATAAGGCAGAGAAAGAGAAGTCAAAGGAAGAAAGTGCTTCATGGCTGAGTGGCTGAGTCTGGCTTCTCAGATGGCACTGAGATACTGTCACAGTTAGAATGCTACCTGGATCCAGAACCATGAGATGATTGGTGACCAAAAGAAAAACTGTCTTTGGGGAGTACAAAACTAGGTCCCAGATTGTATTGGCCATTATAGTGAGTAGGCAGTAAGTTAAGAAAGATAATTGATACCAACAACTCAGAGAATTTTGGATTGGAGGAGAGAAATACAGTCGTAGTTGGAGTGGGAAATATATATAGGCTTGAAGATGGATAAAAATAACCAGGGACTGGGCTGGGCATGGTGATGCACACCTTTAATCCCAGCACTCTGGAGGCAGAGGTAGGAGAGTCTGCTCTACATAGTTTCAGGCCAGGTGGGGCTATAGGGAAACACTGTGTCAAAAAAGTCTAAAAAATAAAACAACACAAAAAATAATCACAGACTTAAGCTTTTCTTCCTCTATTTGTGTGTGTGTGTATGTGTGTGTGTGTGTGTGTGTGTGTGTGTGTGTGTGTGTGTGTGGTGTATGTTTTTGCATGTGTGGGGGTGTCCTTTCTACTGCATCTGGATTTCTGGCATGTGTCACACACTGCTGAAACAAAGCTTAAGAGCACTCCTAGAAGTTTATCTCCTGCAGCGTCGTTATTCTCCTGTGAGGTCTGAGTTACACAGTGTTTAGAGAAGCCTCATAGACCCTGGCTGATCCATAGTTTACAACAACAGTCTCCGACACCCAGGAAGAAAGTTATGCAGCAAAGCAGAAAAGCACTGAGTTTCTTTAAGCATTTCTTCTTTCCCTGCCTTAAACAAAGCAATCAATTTCCTACTGTCTGCTGAAAATATTTGTACTAATCTTGAGTTTAGTTTCAGGTACTTCTGATACAGTTTGTATGTCATGAGCTTCTAGCACTGCCCCCATCCCCAACTCTTTCTTTGTGGAGGGGCGCATCCTGCTACATCACTGTGAGCAGCAAGGTGCCACTGTGGACTTGGTCAACTGAGTCAATGATCCCTGTAATGCCCCTGTGACTACATTAATAAGGAAACATGACCACGGGATGGGCTAAGGAAGTTTACGATCCTCTTCCTCTTTGGATGTAGTTTTCAATCCCTTTTTCCTCTAACATAACCTTTCAGGGGTACTTTTCTTGGGATTATACTTGTTCAAGTGCTGCTTTCCTTATGACCTTCCCCTGAGAAATTGTATACCTTTCCTGTGACTTCCTGTGGCTCTTTAGCGCCTCAACTCATGGCTCTTATCTTTTGCTGTAAGGTGAGCTTTGGAGAGATCATTGGTTTGAAATCATTGTTATATGTGAATATTATAATTAGCAGGCATTCAATAACTGAAAACAGTGATTCTGTCACTACCTCCATTGGCCTGCAGACTTGTACAGATAAATGTCATCACAAGCCTGAAAGGGTACCACCTGTCCAAGAATGGAACTATGACTCACGTGTTGTTTCAGACCTTCTATTTTATTATGTCACTGCTCTAACTTCTTGAGAATCAATCAATTGCCAACTGATGGAATGGTCTTACACTGGCTGGTAGCTTAAACCAGGCACAGAGGGTTGGGTCAGTAGACACATGAGTCTAGCAAATGAAGCCCCTTTCCAGTTAACATCACATGTTCTTTCAAGCAGTGTTTTTCATGGAGAATTCTTAAGATTGCTGTAGATGTCATTGCACTGTGGTGAGCAGTGCTTGCTGTGCGCGTTAATGAATGAGAATTGATTCTGACAGTGGGGAACGAAGCAGAAATGGAGCAGTATCAATGTGTCTAGCAGCTCAGGAGAAAAGATCAAATTTGCCTTTTTAATTCCTTTGTATGTCATGGAAATGAGCAGGGACTTTGTAATTTGGGGTTTGGGTTGTTGAAAAGAGATGCTGCTCACGACCAGGAATTGGAAATCTGCAACAAAACTTGAAAGGAAGTTCAGGACTCAAGAAAGGTTCAGTTGCACAGAGGTTAAAGGCCAAGCTCTGAAATTGTCAGAAGAGCAGATGTAGAGTCAAAGGTCCAAAAATCATGAGCTGCGCTTGCATCAGGGATGGGAGAGCTGCTTGTAATGACTGCAAGCACTTTCAGTAACATCAGCTTCTGTTGAAAAAGTGCCTGCCTTCAGCAAGCCATTTGTAATAAACAAATTCCCAGACAGGAGCTTGAACTTAGAACAATTTAAAGCATTTGCTGACAAGAACTTTGTCTGATCTGTCACTGCGGTATCTTCTCACATGGACGGGTTACAGAGGACTTGTGAGCAGCAGAGGGTGTCCTTGGAGTTGCTCAGGTTTAACTGGCACACAGGCTCTCTCACTGTTAGACTTCTTACCAAATGCATGGTCAGTACTAGTTAATCTTGCTGAATTATTAGTATCTGAAAACTTTTTTTTTTTTTGGTCTTTTTGAGACAGGGTCTCCCTGTAGCCCCAGCTGTCCTGGAACTCACTATGTAGACCAGGCTGGCCTTGAACTCACAGAGATCTGCCTGCCTCTCATTTTATCAGATTCAGACTTGGGTTGAAACAGAGACAAATAAGAATGAGGTCTGGTTAATGCCCCATCCACACCTACTCACCCAAATATTATCACTGTATCAGACAGCCCTGTCTCTGCTTACATCAGCATCAGGGGGAATTCTTGCCATGGTAATTCATGCTTTGGAATGCTTCCAAACTGATAAATGCATTAAAAAATCAAGCTGGAAGGAACAGCACTAAAAGTTTATATACTGAGAAATGTTTCAGAAGTAGATAACAGAAGAGTAAGAAGAAAAGGTGTTTTCAGCTGGTAGAGTGCTTGCCTAGTATACACAAAGCCCTGGGTTTGAGCCCCAGGATTGTATAAACTGAGTGTGTCAATGTACACCTGTAATCCTAGCATTCAGGAGGTAGAGGCAAGAGGATCAAAAATTTAAGGTCATCTTTGGTTATATAGTGAGTCTGAGGGCAGCCAGGGTTACATGAGACCCTATCTGGAAGAAGAAGAAGGAGAAGAGGAAGAAGAAGAAGAAGAGGAGGAGGAGGAGGAGGAGGAGGAGGAGGAGGAGGATTTTTTATATGTGTATGCAGTTTTTTGCTTAATTTGTTATTGTGATTTGGTGACTAACCTTATTTCATGCCCTCAAATACACACAGTGAAATCCCTTAAGAACGCTGCTACCCTGAATGGATAGCTGTAATCTAAAATTTCATACCAGCCATCGAGTGGCCGTGTCATATTAAAAGAATGTTTCATTTCTGCCTCTTCCATTAGGTCTTGAGGGCTGAAGGCAGTACTGTGGGTGAAGGCTGCTCTCAGAAGCTGGTGACTACTGACCTGCTGCGCTTCCTCTTGCTGGTCCTCATCCCGTGCATCTGTGCCCTCATTGTGCTGCTGGTGATCCTGTTCTCCTTTGTTGGTGGGTGATGCCATTTTTCAAGAAAAAGGAAGTAAAAATTAAAATCGATGTGGTGTATAATGGTGATTTATTCCTTGCACTAACCTAATCTAAAGTGTCAAATCAGTGGAGACATTATTTGTGGCTTCCCTTGGAAAAATCTGCTGTTTTAGCCACTATAACCACTTGACTGCTATTATTATTAATACCAATTAATGGACTATAATTAAAGTAATGACTAAATGTGAGCACTTTGAGAGTCTCTGAAAACCCAAGGACAGTGAAATCAGTCCTTTATTTGTGGGTGCTCACAGTTGCGAGGAAAAGATATTTATCACTTGGGACATACGTGCTGAGAGGAATATACAAGGTGCTTTGACACAGTACAGATGGCTCCACGGGGGAGCTATTTAACATTTGAACTCTTGGAGTGCTGTGAATAGAAACCCAGGTTGAGGGCAGAAGCAAGTGCAAGAGTCAAAAACTCCATGAAACATGGAAGTGGGCTTAAGAACTGGGTGAAAATTTGGCAACAGTGCCAAGTGCAGCTGGATGGATACAGTCCACTTGCCACTGGACCCTGCATGTCATACGAAGGGCTTCAGTAGCTAGGTCTTTGGTTTTTAAACTGGGTTCCACAGAACCATGGCTTGGAGGAGGAAGTTCCTTGTCTGTCTGTCTTTCATTTAGAAAAAAGAAACCTTCAAGATACGCTCTAAAATACACACCAAATTTTAATGGGCAGACATCAACAATCAAATTATATGAGTTAGCTATTTATTCATTTGTTTGCATTTTTATATCTCAATTTAAATGAACAATTGCCTTTTGGAAGGTGGAATGCTGGAAAAAACAATTGCCATTAGTAGCCACTAATTGGGATTCTTCAAAATAAAATAGGAAACAAATAGGATATTGATGATATAATTCAATTTTAATGATTTAAAAATGTTAATTTTCATCAAGGTACTCTATTACTTTCTCACTGATTGGCTTATGAAATTCATACATTTAAAACTTATAAGGTAAGTTAATTATAGTAAGATAAAAGTCTTATTTATTTGTGGATATTAGATATTTTATGATATGTATTTGAAAGCAACACTGTAATCTCTTGGTATCTATGGGTTATTGTTTCCAAGATTTCCTTAAAATACTAAAATCCACAGTTACCTAAGTGCCTATATGAAATTACTAATTTGTATACAAGTTATGTACATCTTCTTATGTACTTAAAGTCACCTCTAGGTTACTTATAATGCCTAACACAATGCTGTGCTAAGTGCGTAGTTGTTCTATTGTTCTGTTTAGGGAATAATGATAAGAAAATAAAGCCTGTATCTTTTCAGGGAAGATACAGTTTCTTTTTGCTCCAAATACTAGCTATCAATGGTTTGTGACTCTGTGGATGTGGAGGGAGGATTGTGCTTATTTGCCATGAAAATGTTTGACAATCACTGTGATTGGTCATGGGTTACAGTTCGAGGAAGGATCTGGTTATATTTGTACTTACAAAAGACAGCAGAACTAGATACTAGATTTGGTAGAAAGAACCAAAAGAAGGGAAAACCATTTCATCATAAGAGTTTACATACGGTCACATGAAGTGTCTAAAATAGTAAAATAGACAGAACAGTCATTAGTAGGTAGATTGGACGAAGCGATAGAGAAAGAATGGTGGCAACTAAAGGATTGCTAGTTTTTATATGGGATGATAGAAATGTATTCACACTAACTGTAGTAAGAGTTGCACTTATCTTCAAATATGCTAGAAACCATTGAGCTGTACAATTTAAATGACCAAATATTACAAAACCTCATTAAATTCTGCTTAATTTTAAAAAATGTTGTTTGCTTGAGTTTTACAACTCCATGCTTTTCTAAACTCTTGCTACGGTTAATTGGCCCACAAGGATTGCCGAGGGATCCTAGGACACCAGTTGTACTGTCTGACTCAAGGTTTCCCCATTTTGACATGGCTTACGCTAAGATGGCAAAGATACTTCTGAAGAGAAGAGTTGAAGTTTCTGGATAATGTGTTTAAGCAGCAGTTTCTGGAGGAGCACCATGCTGCTCCTCATACGGCCCTTTGAGTGGAACTGCCAAGGCAGAGGTTAGCTTTATCTCCAAGCTTGGCAGAAACACTGATGATCCCTATGGACCTAACAATGTGGACTCTAAAAGAAGGATTGGAGGTTTTTGAAAGAAGTTGAAAGGGAAATTGGAATAAAAAAGTTTGCTACACTTAGGGCTTTATTTTTTTGGTGGTAATGCAATACTGACAAGCCATATGACACAAAAAAGGGGCATAAAACCTGGCACTAGAGGATCTGGGGTTTGGGTTTTAATCTTTTGTTTCCTGACTGTGTGATACTTGGAATCTGTGAGATGGGAAAGAATTCATTTCACAAATTGTTGCAAAAATTGAATGAATTATTTGTGAAAATGCTTTTAGAAATGATAAAGGTCATTATGAAGTTAAAGAATAACTATTTTCAGATAATTATTTTAATAGTCATTGTACTAAAATAGCAGTTGACTAAATTGTGTCTTTCTCATTTTCATTCCAAGAACTAAAACTATTGTTTTAGACTCCTGCCATGCTAACTCCCGAATCCCAACCCAGTCTTATAGCCAGAACATTCTATTTGCCCAAGAAGAACTCAGGAAGAAGAATTCTGGGTTTGCAATACAATGGCCAGGTTTATGTGACATTCATGTTTAGGCTCGAGACTTATTTTTGGGAGATTAATTCCTTTCTTATAAGAACTATAGCTGTAGCAGTTTGTGTTGCAATTGCCTGCCATAAGAGTAAGTTTATGTTATAGAGTGCTTTATCAGAGATTGAACTGATACCTGCTGTGTCTCTGTTTTTAGAACACATAAAAGTTGCTTATAATAGAATATTGTCCATTACAATACAATAGTATATAAAATTAGCATATATAGTAAAAGCATATGCATATATCTTTATATAATATTCAGTAAAAAGAAAATGATTTATATGCTCTGAGGAGAAACCAGAATATCTTGTAATATACAGGATAAATTATTTCAAAATTAAGAGTAATATTTAAAAGAGATATAGTTGTGTCTATAGCTGATGTTATTCATTTCCTTTACACCTACTTACTGCCTGTTTTGTACCACAGGCGACTCCAGGCATTGAGCACAGCTTTCAGTAGAGTTTGCCTTCAGGATTCCACAGCTTAGTGAGAGAGGAAGGCATTTACAAAATGATCACACTGCCATGTAGGAACAGACAAAACATCAAGAGAGTTCATGGGAAGGGACTGAACCTGCTCTGAGGTGAGGGCCCCTTCCCAGAGAGAAGGCACTATAAACATGAAATTCACAGTGAGAGAATGACAGGGGTGACATGGTCTGGGTGGGGCACTTTATGTGTGTAGATACTAATTATCCATTTCATTGCGATATAATTGACATGCAGAAATCTTGAATATATTTAAAGTAGAAGAGCTTTGATGTATTTTCAGGTAGACGCCCATGAAGCCTCCACCACTGTCATTGCACACTCAGCACAGCGTTATCATTGTCTCACACACACACTCAGCACATCGCTGTCATTGCACACACTCAGTGTACCACTGTCATTGCACAGTCAGCACACCGCTATCATTGCACACACTCAGCACACCGCCGTCACTGCACACGTTCAGCACACTGCCGTCATCGCACACACTGAGCACACTGCCGTCATTGCACACACTCAGTGTTCCACTGTCATTGCACAGTCAGCTCTCCGCTATCATTGCACACACTCAGTGTTCCACTGTCATTGCACAGTCAGCTCTCCGCTATCATTGCACACACTCAGTGTTCCACTGTCATTGCACAGTCAGCTCTCCGCTATCATTGCACACACTCAGTGTTCCACTGTCATTGCACAGTCAGCTCTCCGCTATCATTGCACACACTCAGTGTTCCACTGTCATTGCACAGTCAGCTCTCCGCTATCATTGCACACACTCAGTGTTCCACTGTCATTGCACAGTCAGCTCTCCGCTATCATTGCACACACTCAGTGTTCCACTGTCATTGCACAGTCAGCTCTCCGCTATCATTGCACACACTCAGTGTTCCACTGTCATTGCACAGTCAGCTCTCCGCTATCATTGCACACACTCAGTGTTCCACTGTCATTGCACAGTCAGCTCTCCGCTATCATTGCACACACTCAGTGTTCCACTGTCATTGCACAGTCAGCTCTCCGCTATCATTGCACACACTCAGTGTTCCACTGTCATTGCACAGTCAGCTCTCCGCTATCATTGCACACACTCAGTGTTCCACTGTCATTGCACAGTCAGCTCTCCGCTATCATTGCACACACTCAGTGTTCCACTGTCATTGCACAGTCAGCTCTCCGCTATCATTGCACACACTCAGTGTTCCACTGTCATTGCACAGTCAGCTCTCCGCTATCATTGCACACACTCAGTGTTCCACTGTCATTGCACAGTCAGCTCTCCGCTATCATTGCACACACTCAGTGTTCCACTGTCATTGCACAGTCAGCTCTCCGCTATCATTGCACACACTCAGTGTTCCACTGTCATTGCACAGTCAGCTCTCCGCTATCATTGCACACACTCAGTGTTCCACTGTCATTGCACAGTCAGCTCTCCGCTATCATTGCACACACTCAGTGTTCCACTGTCATTGCACAGTCAGCTCTCCGCTATCATTGCACACACTCAGTGTTCCACTGTCATTGCACAGTCAGCTCTCCGCTATCATTGCACACACTCAGTGTTCCACTGTCATTGCACAGTCAGCTCTCCGCTATCATTGCACACACTCAGTGTTCCACTGTCATTGCACAGTCAGCTCTCCGCTATCATTGCACACACTCAGTGTTCCACTGTCATTGCACAGTCAGCTCTCCGCTATCATTGCACACACTCAGTGTTCCACTGTCATTGCACAGTCAGCTCTCCGCTATCATTGCACACACTCAGTGTTCCACTGTCATTGCACAGTCAGCTCTCCGCTATCAT